GGTCTGGCACAGCTTTCTATTATTGACTATTATGTTCACCAGAGTCATTGGTCCTACTCCAGAATGATGTCCAAGGCATTATCTTTAAGAACTGCTTCATATTAATGAACAACGATGACCTTTCTATTGTGATTCTCACTGGTATACATCTTAATCTCAGTCTAATTCAACCCCTTTATATATTTGAAGCACTGCAACATGAAAATTAAGTATTTTACTTATTCCAGTAACTACATTTCACATGGGCCTATTTTAGATGATGATCTTTCATGAAATTGTTTTATCCTCTGAAGTTTTTCCAGGTTTTCACATTCAAACAGGTTAATTTAGAAATTAACTTTGGTGGAGGGATAACTCATTGTCGCAATATGTACATACTATGTTGGTTTTTTTAAAGTGAAATTTGCCACCACTTTGACTAGCTCATCTCTACACTCCCGTTTGTGATTCTGCGTTGTTGACCGCAGTACAAGGCCATGTAATGTGATCGACACACAGGAGGCGACGTTTCTCCCTCACTGTTCATTTCCTATGGATCTTGTGTGATGGGGGTGACAATTGCTTGTCATTCTCCAGCCAAGTGTCCGGCAAAATTCATTTGTGAAATTTTAAGCTTGGAAATGCAGACGACCAACACAAAGTTGAAAAATGTTCAACTTTTGTTGCTGTTTCGCTTCCTGAGTATTGTCTTCAGCCCAAGTGGGGGAAATCTGACACCTTTTATCGTTTCCCCACGTGTCAAGCCCATAAGATGCTGCTGTGAACTGGGTAATCCTCTGGACGAGAGGGTTTAAGTCAAAATGCCATTTAATTAATCTGCATTATGTAACATTAACCCATTAAACGTTTAAGATTAATTGCATACGCCATCATTCACAACCTAATGCAAACACAAATGAGTCAAAGAATTGAATGGCATACAAATAAGTACTTAACAGCATCAATCCATTCATTGTCTTTTGCATCTTTGAGACAAGGTGACAGCGGGAACATATTCCAGCTCTCAGGGAAACAAACGTTGCTCTAGCAAGCAGTGCTCTCTAGTCTTGGGGAATCAGAGGTTTGTCATTAGTCCCCCTAACGAGTTCTGGGTCTGATACAGAGTCACCTTCCAGTGGGATGTTCCTGAAAGCCCTTCAAAGGGAATTACCCAGGTTGCGTCTCGATCACAAAACCTGAACCACCTTCACTGACTCTTTTTGAAGCGCTGGAGCAGCAGCTCTGCTCTAAGTAACTTGCCAATGATGGAGCGCCGTGCCAGTCTCCCCATGAAGGAAGCTCATTTCAGTTCCTTGTATCAGGAACCTCATCAAGAAGCTTTCTATCCTGATCCATATCTGAGATTGTAATTCGAGATTTTACTTTTTTGCCTCAGTCTGCTCTTTAACAAGACATATCAGAGCAGTGCCCAACAGACGAGGCCCCAATCTGGCCCGTTCCGTCCTACCATCACTCGTGAACGGAAAGATACTTGAATCCATCTGCTTGAGTCAGAGAATGGGGACATTTCTTTTTTTCTTTTTTTTTTCTAAGCTATCAATTGGGGCTAAACCAGCCTTTAATATTTGGCACTGCTGCAATATTAGCATTTGCAAATACTGCTGGAATGCTGTTTTTGGTCGGGTGGTTTGGTGGGGGAGGGGGGTTAACCATCTTTGCTTGGCTTTTTCCTTCACAGTTTTTTGTTTTCTCTTCAACTGAGGTGAGATAATCCTTTATACATACAGTAACTTGATTTAAAATCAATTTGTGTTGATTTCTTTGTCTGCTTGTACAACTGTATGTCCTACTAGGGTTTTTGTACCAAATTATAATGTGAATTCACCTCAAAAGGCCTGTTCAGAAATATTCCTGATAAGAAAAACATTGAAGTATTCAATACTTATTTTGAGTCTTGTCAGTTCTCTATTGCTGCCACCACTGTCTCTACCAGTCCTGGACTGCATTTTTCAACCAGGCATGAAAACAGCATTTAAAATAAACCAGTGTCTGCCATAAATACCGAGGCATGACTGGCTTTGTCATCAGCTCTCCCTGATCAGGGACATGTAGTTTTCAAAGCTTGTCATTCATGTGATCAGTATGAGGACGCCACGCTCACACCATGGTCACATGGACAATCATGCCGGGTAATAATGACTTGAATTTTATTGACTAGGACCCATCTGACATCCCTGCTGAGGGGGAAATGGCTCGTTCCCTAACTGTCTATCAAGAGGAGAATATTATTTTTTTCTCCCATCTCTGCTTCTTCCTTGTCTTTGCTCTGTTCAACTCGACATACACCATGTCTTCACTCCTTGTTCTGTTTTTTTCCCAATGTTTTCTTTTTCTTCCCTCTCTGAAAATCACAGCACTGCACACGCCCCCACACCAGCCCACTCACACATTTGCAAGCCTTTGCGTTAAGATAAAGTTGAATGACTTCATTGTGATTTTGTCTGTCACCAGACACATTTATGAAATGACAGTTTCCACTCCAGTCACCAAACAGAGTTTCTCCTTGTATTTATTTGATGAATATTTAGTCTAAGAAGTTGAAGATGTATATATTTTTTGGCAATATGTATTTATAGAGTAACACCAGAAATAACCGGGTTAGTCAGGTTATCTGCTCAGGTAGCCATCTGTCTACTCTCAGCTTGCCCAATAGCTTCGTCCTTATGAATAGTAATAGTCATAAAACCTTATGAATACATTCAGCAGCAAGTGGGGTAGGGACAACACTATGTTAATCTATGCTTTAAACTCTAGTGGGTTTGACACTTTCTCTGGTCTATTAAGTGAACTGAGATAAGATGAGATGATCCTTTATTAGTTCCACAAGTGGAAAATTTGAGCCGTCATGGCAGAATGTAGACACAACATAAGAGTAAGTACTTTAGTACTTTAGTAGGTTCTGTAAGGTATTTGTGTACTGGCAGATTGTTAGTTTTAAATGTTTGGTACACTTTGATACCATTATCTGCCTCAAGCCCAGTCTAATTTTCTGTATATCCTTATTAGTTCCAAGGTTGCTGATTTGGGCATTTCAGAGAGTTGAATTTATGTCAAAATTTGAAGTAGCGTCGCTCTGGTTTAATGTTTCAGGATTAGAAATTTGCGTTAATGTACATCGCTGTGCTATTCAGCTGCTTTGCATGGTGTTTTCTGAACAACCAACGGGGTTCTTGACACAACGCAGGCAATGAACTGTACAAAATGTTAGAAATTGACAAGATGTAGAACGCATGGTGAGGCTAATCTGATACTGAATCTGACTACTAGGAGTCAAACTTCTCTATGAAGGGTAGAGTTCAACCTTAATAAAAATATGAGGATCTCAGACATTATAGTAGAACAGGTAGTTGGCATTTAAGGCTCATTTTGCATCAACAGATGCTCAGATGGTTCATTGTGTCTGTATGTATCCTGGATTAGCGTAATTGGAGATCTCTTATGGCTTTCCAACCAGTAGCAGATGTTGTTAGTTCCGTGGAGCAGTGTGATGTTTGTCCCATTTATCTTACCTTGCACAGAAATACAAGACACCCAAAAGGAAAGAGTATATATATTTAGCCCCATTTACAAAGACCTCAAGCTGAGACTTTGTGTAATCTCCACAAAAACAGTAGTGCCATAGGAGTCAAAATGAACTAGCCACAGTGTTGCTGCTCAGACCTGCTGATGGAGGTAGTGACAGTGCCACAAATGTCATCTTATGAAAGGGTCAGCACTATTTATGGCTCACAGGTGTACTGTTCTGTAATGTTACTCTGGCCAACCCGTCAGCCGTGGGTTTCAAACTGAAAGCACTCCCGTCCATGCTGCGATGCGTCACTTAACATGTGACAACTCTCGGCAATAACAAGCACCGGAAGAGTCTTGCTCCTTGCTCCAGACCAGGGGTCTGCTACTCCAGTCGTCTAGTTTCACCGTCCTGCGATATTTGGATGCATTCCTATCCACCACACCTGATCTAAATGAAAGGTTAATGATCAGGCTTTGAAAACTTCCTGACATGCCAAGGAAGGAATTAAGCCTTTGAATGCAGGTGTGTTGGAGCAGGGACAGTGGCACTTCACTGAAATTTGCTGACCCCTGCTTTAGACTTTCTTTTGTTGACAAACTCTTCTCCTGATCCTCAAAGTATCTGTGTTTTCAGTTGAATAATGTTGCTTAGCATGCTGGCCCAAACTGAGACCACTCTGATCTGCTGACTGAAACATCAACACACTTTTTTTTTGTTGTGAAAATATGGATCTTTGGAGGATAACTCCTACCAGTTTTTTAATTAGTGTTTTAAATTTTTGGAGGGCTTTTAAGATAGCTAAACAGACGATTATGAAATTAGCTATCCTTCAACTTTTTCTGTTGCATCGTTTTTTTGGTTTTTTTTTTGTGGATGAATTTCCAACTGGAACGACCATACTATAAAAACGCTTTGATGCAGTATCAGGGGGCTGCGTGGGTTCTGCCAGCAGCACAGCAGCACTTTTTTCTTCTTCTTCTGTTTTTTTTTGGGGCAGCATATTCCTCACACAAGGCAACAGCAAGACTCAGAGTCTACTAAAATCAGTGCTGTATTATGACTGGATAGATGTGATGGAAGGGGGTAGAATAAAGGACAAAAACGCAGAGACACGCCAGGTAATACCAACTGCCAAATATTTCCTTTTGATAATGAAACAGCAAGAGTGACTCACTGCAAAGACGAATCAATGGATGAATTGTTCACCAAGAGTAGCTGATAGTATTAAAGAGTATTGAATTGCCTCTCAGCTTGGTGGTGGTGTGGATTCAAAGATGTGTGGCTGCATATCAGAAAACAGAAGCAGAGATTTTAGGACAGGATTTTTTTTCCCCAGTCCAAAGGTTGTAGAACATACTTGACCAATGCAGGTTTTTTTATGCTAAACCTTATATTTATAATATGATCATGCATTTTCCAGAACGGTCTAGAGATTCAGGATCAAACATTCTCATGCGTTTTCAACCTCTTCCTTCCTTCCTTTCTGCAGTTCCACCAGTGATCTTGAGGCTGGCTGAGCCGGAGAAACGCCATGACACTTGCATCGAATTCACAGTTCGCGGTTACCCGTACCCCAAACTGCGCTGGTTCCACAAGCAGACTGAGATCAAGGAGAATGACTTTATCTGGACCGACAAGGATACCTACCAGGACTACTTGGAGGGTTGTCTGTTGTTTAAAAACCCGACCCACCTCAATAACGGCAACTACACTTTGGAGGCCAGCAATCATTTGGGAACAGTCACGAAGACGGTGTATGGTCACTTCCTCAACGACGAGGAAGAAATCGGTGAGTGGACGACTTTTTTTTTTTTTCTTTCTTTACTCAAAATGCGGTTTAACTAAGGTTCAATCCCCCAGGTTTGATAGAAAGTGAACCCAAGGTGGAGCAGAAGAAGTACCATCCAAAAAAAAACAAAACATTTTTTGATTCCACCTTAAGCGATCATGTTCAACTTGTGACTTTTCAACCAGGCCTTTGGTGAACTTTCCAATTTGGATGTTTCCAGGTTTTATAATGGCTCCAGAACATATTGGAGGATTTGGTTTTACAGTAAAACGTTCCAACAAAGCATGCAAGCTGTGTAGCTAATCCCTACTGCCCTGGTTCATTTAGGTTCAGTCAGGTAGGTTGTTCACTTGCAGTTCGAACTGAGTTCACAGACCGGGAGGAAAGGAAACCCACAAAGTCTGGCAAATTTCTCCCCATGGTCAGCATTCCGGGGCGAAACCTGTCAGTTTATTGACGTAGCGTGACATTCTCTGTCTCTTCTTTTACAGGCTCAGTGGAAATAGGTGAGTGTTTCTATTTTCAATGCAACCTTGTTGGGTTTTACTTTTTCTGTCTTTTCCTTCCCATTTGTTACTCCTTGTTATATGTGGGTTTGCCCACACACATACAGAGAGGCGCGCACACACAGACACTGTTTGACTAACACTTTCATGATAGGAACCATGGAGAAATTTGTTCACTTTGTGCTCCTCCATAAAGTAGTTCTTAGCAATGACCTTTGATCTACTTTGCCAAGTAGAATAAATCCTCTTTGAATGAACTCAGCGCTGTGTGGGGCCAATGATTTAGTTCGTTTTGACAACCACTTTTTTTCTCTCCTCCTGTTCTTCCAATCAGAACCTTTGCATTGTGCTGCTGGTGCACTGTAAACCTGACACATCTGCAAACAATAGCGATGGATAGCAACACTGCTTCTCTTGGCACATTATGGGTTAAGACTTGCTTTAATAAAACAAATCTGATGGGACACTGGAAAAGACTATTATGTAAAAGTTGTGCTAAAGGAGTTAGCCTATCAGCAAAGCTATTCTAGCCTAAAATGATATCTCAATGCTAAACATGTTGCAACAGCACATGCTAACGTTAGCTTCCACAGTCCATGTTTGTAAAGAAGGATTTTTTTTTCCAAGAAGTTCCTGAAACACTTGAAAGCTCAATGGGTGTAACGGCACTGTGCACAAATCTGATGGTTGAATAACCTAAATAACAGATTAAAAATGAATAAATGTCTTTGTTGTTGAGCTCATATGTCCATTTACTCAACAATTTATCAGTAAACAGTTTTTGAATTGAAAATTTTGCTAATTTTGACTATGTGGTTTTTGATTGAAATGCGATTATTGATTGCAGACCCTGCAATTAACTTGATGAAAATTTTAATCAGATTCCACCACCAATTTCAAGATAATCTGTTTTGAACAGAAGCACTTCAAATTTAGCTGTCTCATCAATTTCAGTGGTTTATTGAATTAAAAAAAATAAATAAATAAAAAAAAAAAAAAATATATATATATATATATATATATATATATATATTATGTGTGTGTTGCATAACAGTGTTCCCAAAATTCCTTTGATTATATCGGGCTGCCAAGAACAACCTAAAGGTTGTCTTCTAGATGGTTCTGGCAGCTCAATCTTTGACCTTCGTTGGGTTTCCTCCCTCATCTATATGGAGCCGTTGGTACCAGCCGGTTATGATACTGCTGTGTGACCAGTGATGGAGACGAATGGACTTGCAGGGCCCAGCTGCACGAGGCGGTGCTGTGGCCTCATGCTGGCACTCATGCACCAACTTGTATTGCTGCGTGTGAGAGGGCTCAGTGACAGAGGATAGACTGCTGACAGGCTGAGTGATGCTAACACTGCTGGGCAGAGAGGAGCGCAGAGGGAGGAGAGAAGACGGGGATCATAGCCGAGAGGGAGGGACTCGGGGTTGGTGGTGGCAAACACACACATATACACACACTTCAGTGCTGTGTAGGTGCTCATGCCTGGGCCAGTTGCAGCCAGCCATTAATTTCCCCGCAATTACTCTTTAAAGCCCTGGCCGCAGGTCCCAAAAGTTCTGTTCTTTTTGCAGTTTGATATCATTATACATTAGAAAGTGCTTTTCTCTTCTTCTTTTTTTTGCCAAAATCTGTAATTTTTAGCTGTATTAGTTGAGCATCAAGCCTAATGCCTGTAAAATTTATGCCACTTAGTCCATTAGGTTAAAATTTTGTCATACTCTTGGTTTTTTATGTAATATTTGTTTGTTACAGTCTCTCTGTCTTTTAACCAGTTTTATTTCACCTAATGCAACATTTGGCATGTCGGCATCAGTTTCCTTCTACGGCTCTTTTATAAATGTTTACTTCTACATGAACTCTGCCTTTGTTTTTCTGTGTCTTAGTTGTTCAAGTACATGCATGTGATTGTGCAGCTGTATCAAAATGTTCATAATATCTTTGCTCAGAAGCCTGAGTCTGGGTGCAGCAACGTTTTGATATGTTTGATTATATTTAAAGTTATTAATTTATGTGCATTTTAACGCACTTTGTGGGCTTGCTGGATGGTGCAGAGCCTCATAAAAGCATCAAAGCCCCTGACCTCTTTCACATTCTAGCTACAAACCTCAGTGTATTTTACAGAGCACTAATATGATGGACCAAACACAAAACAAATCATTGTAAATAGAATGCAATGAAATGCATCCCATCTCCAGACAGAATATTCAAAAGCTGTTGTATGTGCAAATATCACTTTGTCAATCAAATCAAAGCAGCTATGTGAAAAGATGCTTAATATTTTTAAACTTTAATAATCACTCATCGAATGCAGAGACAGCTATTAATATTTTAACAGTTTACCAGGTTTTATCAATACATTAATATACAGTTGACCATTGATCTTGATATGGACCAGAATGAAAATGAGTTTAACATCCGTTCTAGCAGAACATTGTCCTAAACGTACAACCAGTTAATGATTTAGATCAAAGCAAATTTATGTCCAATCAACAACCAGATCAAACAATCTTATTCCATTTTGAAAAAAAGGGGGAAATAATGTCAGTCTGTAAATGTGAAAAACTACCTCAATATACTGTGATTGAGTTCAAAGGGTGTGAATACTTTTGCAACCCTCTATTGTTTATAAGTAAACCGACGTATCTGCATAATTAAAAAAAAAAAAAAAAAGAAATTTCTTTGTAATTCTGAGCTTTTAGGTTGCGCATTAACCTGTGTACATATCATTATTAATTTAACTCATCGGTCAGCTGTATAGACAGTGGTCTATGACAGTACAGCTCGGCTTGGGCTAAAATGAATAAATGTGTGTGGCTATTGTATGCATTTGCAGCAAAGGAGCAAACCAATGTCATAAAAGGTTTTCTTCCCTCCCTGAGTCTCTGATGCCTTTTGTTGTGCTTCTGTGTTGCAGGTGGGATCCCTGAGGATGAAACAGGGCGGCCAGAAGAAGATACATTTGGGGTGAGTTTTCTCTTTAAAAACATGGTTGAAACAGCTGGTAAAAAAAAGCCTCATGATCTCGGTGGAGAAATGCTTTGGTTTTCTGCAAATATTCCCTAATTTTAATTTATTTTTCTCTGAGTTTGCTTTGACATACTTTGCTTAAACACTGAAAAGTTTGCACACAGCATTATTCAACAAAGGACTGCTGATTAATGCAGTCCTTATTCCAAGAAGAATAAACCAAGAAGAGCCGCAACTAACAATGATTTTAGCTGATTATTTGATGCATTATTTTACCAATTGTTCTGACGATTAATCGATTAATTTGATTTTTAAATAATCATTTAACCACTTAAACCTATTTTATATTATTTTACAAATCCACAAAACTGCAAATAAATAATTCAGTTCTTTTTTAAAATAAGAAAATCAACATTTTGTTGCCTAAAATGCAATAACATTACATTCCTTTAGATCAGCGGTTCTTAACCTGGGTTCGATCGAACCCCAGGGGTTCG